TGATGCCTTAAAGGTGACTGGGTCCAGTAGTTTCTCATACTTTCTAAATTGAAAAACTTTGAAATGTTACTCAAAGCTTAGTCTGTAACACAGGGAGTAAGGGGCTGGGAGGCTCAGACCTACCCCTTCCTCACAGAGGCTCAGGCTCCAGGCTCCATAGAACCCAGTGAAGAATCAGTGCTTCAGACCTCTCCTGCCTCCCTACTCCCACTTCACAGGTGGCCACACTGAGCCCGTAGAGCCTAAAAACGAGAGTAGAAAGGACTCATTCCCCACCATCTATCCTTCAGCATGATTTCTGGACCACCTACTAAGTGCTCATCTGTGCCAGGAGGGTTAGTGGACTCTGAGGTGTGAAGAGTCATGAAGCCTTGGGAGGCAGTTGCGAGGGTCTCTGCGTGAACATGGCTTGGTTTCATGGGAGGTCCCCTGGGTCACTGCAGTGGAACCCTGTCTCTAGGGACATGAGGATACCACTCAGCAACATTGAAACCCACACAGGTCATGGGAGCCTGAGGTCATGATTCCATTTAGTTAGGATTGCTCCTCTGAGGACCACCCCAATCCCAGGTCCAAGATAGACCACTTTGGGCCACTGCCACTCAAGAACCTGTTTGGCAGGATTCAGTTTAGAGAGAAAGACGGTGTTACAGGTTGAACTCTGTCTCCCTCAAAAAGATATGTTGGGGTCCTTACCCCAAGTACCCCCAGAATGGGACCTTATTTAGAGATGGGGTCTTTATAGAGGTCATCAAGTAAAACTGAGGTCGTTAGCATAGGCCCTGACCAATAGAGGTGGTGGTGTTATAAAATAGGGAACTTGGATCCAGAAGCTGACATGCATACAGGAAGATGATGTGAAGAAATACCAGAAGAAGAAGACAGATAGTTATGAGTCAAGAATCGCCTTAGGCCACCAGGAGCTGAGAGAGAGGCCTGAACACATCCTTTCCTGGCGCGTGCGGAGGAAGCACGGTCCTGCTGACACCTTGACTTCATCCTTCTGGCTTCCAGAACTTGAGACAACACATTTCTGTTGCTTTAAGCCACCCAGTTTCGGGGCACTTTGTCACAGTAGCCTATGAAAGTCATCCAGGTAGGGCCCAAGCACTATTGATTCTGACGGCGGTGATGTGAATGCTTTCATTTTGTTTTGCTTTGATTGTTTTCACCCTCATGTAGAAGACTCATTTCTTATTTTTTGCCACCATAAATTCCAGGGTCCAGTGGTACGTGCATATTTGTAAGGCTTTTAATGAACTGCTGTGGGAGGGTTACACCTTTCATCATAATCTCTGCCTTCCAAGCGAGAAAGAGAACCAGACAAAAGAGCCATGCATTGAGGGTGAATTCTGGAGAGCCCTGGCATGAGAAGGACACTGCCACGACTGATTCTAGGAACTTTTTCCCATGCTGCACCTCCCTGGCCACGGATGGCCACAGACCACTGGATTAGGCGGGCGCTCTTATCTCCACCCAAACCACAGGGCTCTCGTCATCATTCCTTCTCTCCTGCAATGCCTCCTTCCCAGAACCCTGGCCTGCCATTTATTTTTCCTCTTACAACCTGGAGGCATTGTTTGAATCTCTAGGTCAGGGTGCAATTCTAGTTCTAAGCAATGAGACCACATGTTGGAGTGGAAAGGGTTCTGAAGCTCAGAGAAGCCCCCGGTGGGTTCCTGCTCTCCATCTAACAAGTTGCTTGTTCTTTATGGAGTCATGTTGCACTCCTTGAACCTCAGACTCTGCTATGCTCTGAATGTTTATGACCCTCCAGAATCCACCCAGGCTGAAACAGAATCCCCAGTGTGTTAGTATTAAGAGATAAAGCCTTTGGGGCTGCGTGCAGTGGCTCACACCTATAATCCCAGCACTTTGGGAGGCTGAGGCGGGCAGATTGCCTGAGCTCAGGAGTTTGAGAACAGCCTGGGCGACACGGTGAAACCCTGTCTCTACTAAAATACAAAAAATTAGCCGGGTGTGGTGGCATGCGCCGGTAGTCCCAGCTACTCGGGAGGCTGAGGCAGGAGAATTGCAAAACCCAGGAGGAAGAGGTTACAGTGAGCCAAGATTGTGCCACTGCACTCCAGCTGGGTGACAGAGCAAGACTCCGCCTCAACAACAACAAAAAGAGTGGGAAGTAATGAGGTCATGAGGGTGGAGCCTTATGAATGGGGTTAGTGCTCTCATGAAAGAGGCCTTAGGGAGCATGTTTGTCCCTTTCACCAGGAGACAATGCAGAAAGAAGGTGCCATCTGTGATGCAGACAGCATGCACCCCACTAGACACCAAATCTTCCCATGCCTCGCTCTTGGACTTCCAGTCTCCAGAACTGTGAGCCATTAGTTTATACTGTTTATAAATTATCCAGGCTAGGGTACATTTACTATGGCAGTCTGAATAAACTAAGACACACTTCATATCTGTAAAATGGAGGTAACCATTTCAACCCTGCAGAACTCAGGAGGATTCTGGACATTTCTCGTGGAGTGCTATAAAAACAGAATAGTCTGTTTGGGGACAGCAGGTGAATGATGGATGCTTCGGGGGAAATGAGAACTCCTCAGGGACTGTATTAGTTTCCTGCATCTGCTGTAACAAATCACCAGCAACTTAATGGTTTAAAACCATCCAAACTTTTTCTCTTATCGTTCTGAAGGCCAGAAGCCCAAAACTTTAACTGAGCCAAAACCAAGGCATTAGCAGGGCCACACTCCCTCCCCGTGCTCTCCCAGTTTCTGGTTGCTACTGGTACTCCCTCCCTGTGCCCACATCACTCGAGTCTCTGCCTCTGAAGTCACATTGCCTTCTCTCCTCTGCAGACAGTGCATCTCCCTCTGGCTCTCACCTCTAAGGATGCTTGCGATGGCATTCAGGGCCCTCCCAGGTAATCTAGGATAACCTCCCCACGGCAAGATCCTTCACTAAATCACAACTGCCCAGGTTCTTTTTCCTTATAAGATAACAGTTCCAGGTTCCAGGGATTGGGGCCTGATATCTTTAGGTGGCCACTATTCAGCTAAGGTATTTTACTATGGCATCCCATATACACTCAGACACACTTCCTCTGTAAAACAGAGGTGACCATTTCAAAAAAATTGGGCTCTGGACTTTTTCTGTGGAGTGCTACAAAAATGGAAGAGCCTGGGCTTGGCACAGTAGTTCATGCCTGTAATCCCAGCACTTTGGGAGGCCAAGGCTGGTGGATCACTTGAGGTCAGGAGTTCGAGACTAGCCTGGCCAACATGGTGAAACCCCGTCTCTACTAAAAATACAAAAATTAGTCTGGCGTTCAGGTGCATGCTTGTAATCCCAGCTACTTGGGAGGCTAAGGCAGTAGAATCTCCTGAGCAAAGGAGGCACAGCTTGCAGTGAGCCAAGACTGCGCCACTGCACTCCAGCCTGGGCTATAGAGGGAGACTCTGTCTCAAAAAAAAAAAAAAAAAGAAGGAAGAGTCTGTTTGGGGAAAGCAGGTAAATGATGGGTGCTTAGGAGAAATGAACACGCCCTTTCTTCCCCCTAGTGGCAGTGAGGCTACTTGGAGAGCATTGCTGGGGAATGGGAAGAAGGTGGCCAAACCACCAGCCGTGTCAATTACAGGACAGGTGATAAGTAGTCCCTGGTGAAAGGAGGACATGAGAGGGAGTCTATCTTCAGGTGGCCATTATTCAGCCTGCTCTAGGGAAGTTGCTACTTGTAAAGATAAATGATGTATGTTTATAAGAGTTTCCTTGCCTTACTAAGTAGCACAGGGTAAAGCCCTGTTATAGGCTGGATAACTCATGTTCCAGATACTGTTAATGCCAACCCTAAGAGGAAACATTATTAGCCTTATTTTGTAGGTGAGGATATTGAAGATAAGAGAGAGAAAGAAAACTACCTATGCGGGCACAGCAGGTATGTGGTGTGGCTGGACTGAAATCCCTAAAGCTGTAGTCTTTTCAGCCCAGATCCCTGTTGCCCATCAAATAGACCGTAGATGTGCGTGATGAATATTCTTGACCCCAGACAGCAGGCCTTGCTTCCAGTCTTAGAGAAAATGAAACAAGAATGGTCTTGCATCTTTTGCAGGCATGTGTTCTGAAGATCTGTTACCTGTGAATGCTTATTGGAGGCTGAGCACAAGGACACCACTACTTTCTTCCCCTAGAAGAGTAGATAGTCTCGCTAAAGGCATCTCACTGATATCTGATGTGGCTTAATGCAAGAAGTCACTGCCTCAGTGGGAAGGGTTCTGGGATTTTTCCACATGGGTAAATGGTATAGGATGTAAGTTCACGGGGCAGTAGAACAGATAGCCCCGCAGTCCTCCCTTCAAAGCACTGGTCATCTAAGTCCTCAGCTGCCCTCTTTGCGTTGCTGTTTCACTCCAAAGCTGAGATCACGAGTGTGCCCTGTCACTTAGTCTCTCTGCTTCCTTTGTCCAGCTACTGGAGCTCTGACACCCAAACCTTTCTTTTTCTTTTTAAAATCTTTTCCTTGGCTCATGGGAAACTCAGGGCTATATTCTATGCTCATTGCTTGGCCCTTCCTCTACTGTTGGTTTTCCTTCGCTTGTGCCTATTTCTCGTTTTCATTTTGATGACTTCACTGCACCTGATATGTTATTCTAAGGGAGCTTGAATCTATTCTGGAAATAAGAATGATGTATAAATCAAGCATGAATAAAACTTTCCTTTGGTTGAAAAAAATCCTTTTTGTACTTTGGAAAGTCATTGTCTTAAGCTAGTGCTCAGTTTCTGGAGGAAGAAAAAGCATCTCTCAAGTCAAATTAATTAATTAATGACTAACATTGCAGTTCCAAAGTGTGTCATCATCACTTGCAATTTAACTTTCCCTGCCTACAAGACAGTGAGATGAAGTGGCTACTATAATTATTTCTATTTCTCAGATGAGGAAACTGATGCTTAGAAACGTTAAGTGGTGTGTCCCATGTCATTGAGCTGGGACTTGCCTTCCAGTTTTACCTTCCGTTCTCTGCTTCCCTGCAGCGTCTTACCTGCCGTGGCCGTAGCTTTTGGGAGCGTGGTACATGAAGACGTTTCCTCGGGTTCTCTTTGCCCAGGCACTGGCCATGTCGATTATAGGGCAGGTGATAAAGTAGTCCCTGGTGACAGGAGAACATGGGGGAGTCTGGTTAAACATGGCTCTGTGGACAACGGTACCTGAAAAGGGTTTCTCCCAGCGAGGGCCCCATTTGGCCCCCAAAATGCCCCTGCCAGGCCTACAAGAACACCTTCCTCCAGTTCCCCAGCAATGCTCTCCAAGTGGCTCCACTGCCACATTGATGGGAGAGCCAGGGTATGGTAAGTACACCACCATCCCCTCTGGTAGGTGGTAGGCTTGAAAACTGGTGTCCATGTTGATGTATTTTAGGTATCAAAAATACCATGAAATAAATGTCTTCCCAGGACATCAATTTCACTTAAAGATGTGGAAGCAAAACATTTCACAGTAACATAAATGCAATATACAGTGGAGATAAATGCAATGTACTGTGGAACGGAATATAAAATCATTGTGCATTTTAAAAGAAGTCAGAGCCCCCTAAGATAGCTCATGCATATGATACCCTTAGTTCAGCCCAGTCAGTGGCTCTCAGCAGGGGGGATATTGCCACCCCATCTCTACCTCCCCTAGTAAACATGTGGCAATGCCTGGAGGCCTTCCTAGTTGTCACAACCCGGAGTGGAAAGGGTTGTACTGGCATCTAGTATGTGGGGGTCAGGATGCCGCTGATCATCCTAGAGTGGAAAGGGAAGCCCCACAAGAAAGGAAGACCCAGTCCAAAACGTCTGGATGAGGAGGTCGAGAAACCTCTCTTGTTGGAGAAAATTCAGGAGACCAGAGACAACGACTTTTCATTGGTTCTGTCCCTAGGGACAACAAGCAAAGGATGAAACAGAAGGATTTTAAGGTGGCTACTGGCACGGCAGATTAGCACCCCGAGGCTGAGCGAAGAAGAAAGAAAATGGGGTACTTTTTGTACATCCAGGATGACGTAGCAGCTAACAGGTTTACAGAAGCCAGAACAAAGAACAGTTAATTAATTTGCAACATGTCTTTTGATGTACATTACACCTAAAAAATGGCATTTTGAGAAACGCCCACTCTGTATGCTCTTTGGGTGTTATCTTGCCCTGTGACCTTGCAGCTGGTCAGCAAGAAAAACAGGAATTTTGAGATGCTGGGAGCTTTGCTGACAATGTGGGGAGAATAGATAAGGTAGGTTTTACAGGGAGTGAGTTAATTTTAAGCAGAGCTGGGGGTTAGGTTTTATGTTAAACAGCACACAACACAGCAAAATTTATTTATCATATAGGAACTACAAATTATAAGGTTTTGTTTTTACTATTATTGCTATTATTTAATTCCCTCTTCACCCTAAGTTCTGTATTTGCTCTGCCTTTGAGGGTACCATGAATCGATTTCAGAAGCAGCAGCTTACAACAGTGGGGCTCTGCCTGTGCTGACACGCAGCCTGTGTGCTTAGAGAGGCAACCCCGGCTGTGCAGCAGACAGACAGACCCTGGTTGGCCCTGGGCCCACCAGGCTTTCAATCCCATCTGCATTGCAGAGTAAAGATGAGATACTCAACAGTTCTTTTATGTCCTTGAATCTCTGTCTTCTCAGCTGAGAAGTGGGGCCAAGAGTCTCTACCTGGAAGAGATGTTGTAATGACCAAGTTTAATAACACCCATGGGTGTCCCTCAGTAAAAGGGGTGCCCATCTTCCTTTCCTGTTTCTTGGGATAAAAGCATCTGGTGAGTCTGTTGGGTGCTAGAGTGTCCCCAGGTGAGGCTCTGAGGTTGTGTGGGGCACCATGGGTGTCTTGGGGACAGATGAAGCCAGCTGAGTTTCCTCCTGCATTGTGAGTTTCCCCGAGGCATTGTGAGCAAGACAGGGATGGGATCGAACCTACGGGAAGAGTCATGCACTGGCAGGCCTGGGGCAGGACACTGCCTAGAAAACTACTCAGAGACAGAGCCAGGGCCTGAGTCTGTGGCAGAGGGAAAAAGCTCCTGAGCTAAGGTAGAGCTGGAGTCTGTCTTCTGAGTGAGACCTCTCTTGGTGATGCTGCCTTTGCTCAGTCTCAGCTCTCACCCCAGCACGCAGGTTGTCCTTAAGGTCACATAAGGCAAAATTAAGGCAAGAACCTAGGCTTTCTGATCTCTAGCCCTGAGCTCTCTCTGCAACACGATCTAGCCCAGCCCTGACTTGATTATAAGCCTCTCAGGGTCAGGGACTGGACATCTGTGAGTTCTTACAGTCCAGCCCTGGCAAGGCCTCCCAAAATAGCTGTTGGCTGTTTCATCTAAAGTGAATATCTCCACTAGAGGGAAAATTAAAGCCTTTCAGTACCCAAGATCCAAGTGGGTGGTATAGTTTTATTCTGAGCCAGTGACCTTCCAGTTGGAAACCACAGGCTCCTGGGTGGAGAGACCAATTGAGGCAGTGGGTTTCTAACACATTCCAGCCCATTCCTTTTCAACAGGGTCTGGTTCAGCAAAGGATGCTGGGCCTTGACATTGGCTTTGTCCCCAGGGACAACAAGCAAATGGTCACTGTGGACCTCCCGGAGGGAGAGAGACAAGGAGGCACAGAATGCTGAAGGCACTTACATCCCTGTCCATTCTTCCCACTGGGAGCAGGAGCTCTGCAAAGGAAACTGAGAAATCCCAGGCACCTGTGAGGGGACTCAAAGGTGACCTGAGCACCAGAGTCCCACTGTAGTCTTATCCTAGGGATCTCAGAAGGAAGAAAGGACTGGAACCCTGGTTATTTCCTTATTTCTATTCAAAAATCATTTCTTGTGCATCTGCTGCACATTTCTATAAAAGTTCTCAGCCTCAGTGAGCGCATGCAGTACTAGGAAAGGGAGGTAGGTCTGTCTTGACAACCCCTGGGATTGGAGGGGAGGGCATGCTGCGAGAGAGGGACCCTGGGGACAGCAGGGCCTGGGGGCCACAGCCTTTAACCATCTTGGGGTGTGGGTTTGGGCAGCCCTCCCCAAGTGAGAGAAGCTTGAGCGTGAATGGGGAGAAGGTGTGCAAGCAGTGGATACAAGAAACAGTGGGCCCCAGAGAGAGAGGGCATGGCTGTCAGAGCCTGGGCTGTTCCCATCTGGGGAGTGGCATCAGCCACAAAACCTCCCCGCCTCCAGGGCTCTGCTTCCCATGTGCCAGGTGAGTCTGGCCTGCAGGGTAGAGTCAGGTGAGGGAGCTTTGAAAAATGCTGGCCCCTATGGGGGCTATGTGTCACCTACCCTTTAAATGCCCCCATGTGTGGCTGAAAGGCAGCCAAGACTGGGGGCACTGGGCTCAGTGAACGCAAGGCCAAGAGCATGGGAGGCTGTCCTGAGCATTTGCTGAGTGGCTGCTTCAGGTAGAGCGTGCACTGGGTGCCTCTGGCAAATGCTGCTTCTCTGCCCTCCAACAGCTCCCTCATGCCTAGGAAAAGTCAGGGCCACCTCTCATGTCTCCCATTGTCCTGGGCTTTCCTGGCAGCAGGGTCCACCCCACATGCCCCCCAGGGCTGCCCCTCAGCAGGGAAGCACCCCATGCTGTAGGCTGAATGAATGACGTAGAGGAAATCGCAAGCAGAAAGCCACTGCTCTGTACCCTCCCGCAGCTTAGCTTACCGGGTGGCATTCTCCAGAGCCCGGGAGAAGGAGGCGTAGTCATCCGAGGAGTGCTCTAGAGAGTAATACCATGTAGCAGCAGCCTCAACGCGGGCATCTGAGTCCTCGCCGCCCAGGGAATTCTGCAGCGCTTGGTAAAAGGCTGTTTTGCTACTGGTCCGGCCTTGACTTTCCTCAAATTGCTAGAAAAAAAAAAAAAAAAGATGTGAAATTCCCCAGTTGAATTCTGAAAAATCTGTCAGTGTCCCCCAAGCCCTTGCTCTAGAATTTTCTCTCTGGGAAGCAGTGGAACATGGCATTAAACACATGAGTTTTGAAGCCAGACTGTCTGGGTTTGAATCCCAGCTCCGCCTCCTTCTAGCTGTATGTCCTTAAGCAAATGGCTCTGTCCCTCTGTGCCTGCCTTCTCCATCTGAAAATGAGAGTGCCTGCCACATAGGATTCTGACAAGTACTTAAAATGGAAACATGTTCGCCTGAGAACAGGTCAGACACCGAGTTTCACTTGCTTTACCGGCTGCTTGCTCAGCCAGCTCGTGGGTAACTATGGTCTGATTGTGTTAGGAATGCTAAATTCCGTTTCATTCATGAACTCTGTCACTCATCATATGAATGCTTCATGCACACTTTCATGTGGATAGTCACACTCTTCACCCGGGCCAACAGTGCCCCAGGCTTGGAGAAACAGCTGTGAACACGGCGATCAAGCTCCCTGTCTCTTGTTCCAGTGGGCAGAGGCGGGAAATAAGCAAATAAATGCATAGTGTATCAGGAAACAGATCCTACAGAGAAATATAGGGCAGTATAAGAGGGACAGGGAGTGCTGGGGTTGGGGCTATTTTGCATAGGACGGCCAGGGAAGGCATGCAGCTCTCTAAGACGTGTCCAGATGAGAGCAACTTTCTCTATTTCTTTTTCTCTGCCTTTCACTTTCCTTCCTTCATGCTTCCCCTTTTCTCTCCCTTCCCTCACATCTTCTCCCCCTGTCCCTCTCTCTCCTTGTCTCCCCTTCTGTCTCTATTTCTCTCTGTATTTCCCCCTCTCTGTTCTTTCCTTGTCCTGGTGGTGCTGCTGTCTGCACTGCCAATCACTGCCTTCCCCCAGGACCCAGTTTCCTCCTTTCTGAAGACAAGGGCCTGGGGAAAGCATGGTGGGGGGGCGGCCCGGGTGAGAGGTCCAGCATCCTGGACCCCTGCACAATCCTGTGCTACGTGTTTACATATTTCTAGGACCTTATGTAAACGGTGAAACGTGCATATCAGCACACTCTGGTGTGTTTAAATTGCTTCTGCAAACATTTCCAAACACACAGGATCTGTGGTTAGAATTCCAGTAGTAAGCAATCCATCCTGGGTGAGAAAGCCCCTCCTGGGTGAGCACAACCCCTCATGGATGAGCGCATCCTGTCCTGGGTGATCCCATCCTCTCCTGGGTGGGCATATCCTCCCTGGGTGAGCACATCCCCTCCTGGGTGAGCGCAGCCCCTCCTGGGTGGGCGCATCCCCTGCTGGGTGAGCGCAGCCCCTCCTGGGTGAGCACATCCCCTCCTGGGTGAGCGCAGCTCCTCCTGGGTGGGTGCAGCCCCTCCTGGGTGAGCACATCCCCTCCTGGGTGAGCGCAGCACCTCCTGGGTGGGCGCATCCCCTCCTGGGTGAGCGCATCCCCTCCTGGGTGAGCGCAGTGCTTCCTGGGTGAGCGTATCCCCTCCTGGGTGGGCGCAGCCCCTCCTGGTGGGGGACCCTTGGCCTGGTGAATGAGAAGCCAGGCTGAACCGTGCTGGTGGACTAACTGGTCCTTCAGGATGACCAAAGCCAGGAGTGCATGCAAAGAGGGCTTCATTCTCATTCTATCAATAACATTTTAATTATTGGAATAAATTCTGGAGCAAATATGAAATTGTAAAATCCGAAGAGTGAATCTATTTGACCACGACCATGTAAGTTCCATTTTATACATAGGGAACACACATGGACACACACAGACCTGAAATAGCATTCACAAATAATGTTCACACTCCATACTCTTACCGTCTACAATGCATCTGAGAGTTTCCATTCTACTCTATCCTAGTCTAGTCTATTTAAAAAATGCTCACCTGTAATCTCTCATGTGGACCCTATAACCAGCTCATAGTTTAGGGGAAAAACTGCATTATATTCTCTGTCCTTTTCTGCCTGGAATATTTCATTACAAAAATAATATTAGCCACCCACTGGCACTCCTCTGATTATTTCTAAATTTTGTGCCACACATTTCACACATATATTTCAAGGATATATACATATATCCAAATAACCAGGTGAACTGAGCATGACGTTATCCCATCGTACGAATCATAATTCCAAGGCTGAGAAAACCTATCTCGCTTGTTAGGGCCACACAGATAGGATGCATGAGGCAAGATTGAACCCCAGGTCTTGCTGCTGATAAGAGACAGGCTTGTTCCCCCAGCTATAGCTTAAGCAGTACCCCACATCAGAGCTGTGGATGATGGTACCACAGCACACGGAAGGATGGATGCTTTGCCCACAAGGTGCGTGGCCCAGAGCAGTGAAAAGAGCATTGAGTTTGGAGTCAAAACTTAGGTTTCAATTGCTGTTAAATTTGGGGGATTTGGGAAGGTACATTTTTTTCCTCTCTCTGAGCCTGACACCTTCCAAATGTGAATGCATTGTGTGTATTCGTATGTCTCCTGTGAAGTCACCTGCTAAGGTTCTCTCCTAGATGTGGCTGGTTGTCTGTGGGTGCAGGCTAAGAGGAGCCGGGAAGTCTCAGTGCAAAGGGCACTTTGCACTTTGCCTAGAGCTGGCAACAAAAATTTGGGTTCCGTCTCTTGCCTTTCTCAGCTGTGTGACTTTGGGCAAGTCACTTAACCTCTCTAATCCTTAGCCTCCTCAAAGGCAAAAGGGAGTTAACTAAAATCTGCTTTGCAGCATTGTTCTGAGAATGAGAAACGACCTTTGGTGGCACCTAGCTCAAAGTCTGGCATACAGTCCTTAATAAAAGAGATCTGCTTTTATCTATCATGGGTTTCATCATTTTTTTGTTTGTTTGTTTTTTGTTTTTTTTGAGACAGAGTTTTGCTCTTGTTACCCAGACTGGAGTGCAATGGCGCGATCTCGGCTCATGGCAACCTCCGCCTCCTGGGTTCAGGCAATTCTCCTGCCTCAGCCTCCTGTGATCGTTTTCAATTAGAAAACTGAAGGAGGAACACAGGGCCCCAAATTGCTTTATTAAATGAGAAAAATATTTAAAAAGTGCTGTGTATCTATCTTCATGGAAGAAGGCTCTCTTGCTGCTATTTCTATTCTAATTCCTTCATACAAATAATATGAATATTTGAAAAACTGTGCAAGAAAATATAATAGCTCATTCCAGTGGCTATCTCAGTGCTAGCCTGTTTGCTTAGCTCTGAGCTGTGAGCAGGAGATTGGGTGATGAGTGGGTGGGGCAGGTGGAAGGCACCAAACTCGAGGCCTAAGTACTGCTCACAGATGCTTTACAAGAAGGGATTCGTAATGCTCCCACCTCAGATACTGGGTGGGTCTAATGCCCAGGGCTGGAGTGCAAGTGGAGAGAACTCAGTTCTGGGAGCCCAGGATGGTACAAGGACAAGGGTGCAGTGGCACCAAGTTGGGTTCTCCCCAGTCTGCTTTGCCACATGGGAGGCATAATCTGCCTTCATGTCTTAACATGAGGGAGCTATGCTGAGGTCTGGGTTCCAGGACCTCCAAGTCCCAGCACCCGCTATGTGGCAATCACTGGGCAAACTCAAGAGAGTGGCTTCCTCTCTCTGGGTGCCATTTTCTCATACATAACATGAGGCGGTCATAGTGAGACCCCTAGCTAAGACACCAATGCCTCCTGGGCTTGAGAGGAGTAAAGCAAATTCATAAATTATCTCCTCCCTGTGTAATGCCATTCACTGCATTACAAGAGGAGACAGCTTAGCAGTGAGAACGATGCTGCCTGAGTCATGTCGGCGAAGGGAGTAGCCAACGTCAGCACCAATGACACGCACCAAGCACCCATTGTGTGTAAGATACTGTGCTGGCCCCTGGTCCACCTCTCCTCATTTTCCCCCATAACTATCCTGAGAGGATGGACAAGGAAACTGGCTCAGAGAGGCTAAGTGCTGTCTTACAGGGCTGATTAAGTCATACAGGTGGGGAACAGATCCAGCTGTGCCTAGCCCTTGCCACCCTGACAGGCTGCCACTGGGCCTTCAATTTCTGTAACTCACGAGAACTAGGCTGCTGAAATAGTCCCAAAGTGCCCAGCATGTGTAAGGAGTGCTGTGTCCTCAACACCAAATGTTCTCTCTTACTTTTAAGCCTTTGCACCTGCTGTTCCTCCTGCCTAAACACCTTTCCCTAGTTTGCCTGGATAACAGCTATTGAACTAGACCCAGGCTTTTTAATCTAATGAGCATTAGAGTAGCCTGAAATCTTGATGAAATACAGATTCTGATTCAGCAGGTCCAGAGTGGAGTGCAGGAATGTGCATTTTAACAAGTTTCCAGGTGATGCTGATGCCATTGGCCTGGGGACTTCACTGCCAGCAATAGGATTATAAACAGAACATCCAGGTTTTTCCCAGGGCTCACCTTCTCCAGGAAACAGGACAGACAATGGTTGAACGGGCAGGCTCTACAGTCAAACTACGTGAGATCCACTTTACTCGGGATACCTGCCTTGCAGTTCTGGGATCCTGAATAAACTGCTAACTCTCTCTGTAGCTCAGTTTCCTTAATTATACAAGGTGGATAATGAAGAAAATGCCCATTGTGTGAATTACCTACAGATTCCAATGAAACATGCATTAAAAGGGTTTAGCACAGTAGTTGACACATGGTCAATAAATGTGAGTGATGATGATTAACTTGTCCCAGGCTAAACCAGGGGCCACAGGTGCTGTGTTTATTTGCCTAATGTTCCAGAGTACTACATGGCAAAGGGTCAGGGACTGTGTTCATAGTCCCAGTGCTCAGTATGTGACAGGCATGTCATAGGTGAATATGCTTTGGATGAACAGCCTTTGTAGAGATAATAGAGGTTAGAGGTTGAAAGTAGGACTCTAAAGTCAAACGTCTTGGGTTTCAAATTCCAGACTTGGAAAGGTCTGGGCTTGGAGGCTAACTGTACTACTTCTTAGCTGTATGAACTTGGGAAAGTTATATAATC